GATCTCACTGACCACACCATTACGCTCTTCGATCGGATTTTTCGCATCTTCATCGATTCACCTCTCTCCTTTTCGATCTTCGTTCGCGCGCGGCCATCGGCTTCGCCCGTTAGTCGTCGGTCGTTGGTCGTTAGTCGCCCGTTTCTCTCGCTTCGTTTCGTCCAGCATTTATTTTATCACACCAGCGAACGAGCAACCATTGCCCGAATTTCCAATCCCACCGATCTTATCTTCCCTCTCGCTCGCTCGTCCTCGTCTCACCGAGGACGGAAATCGATGATCACCAGTCGGTACGATCTCGCGTCGCCTAAATCGTCTCTATAAATTTTGTCCGATTAAAATGTCGACAAAACGAGAATCTCGATCTGTTCGAAAGGGTGTTCATTTCTCAAGGATTGGCCCGATGCATAATTCTGACACAAGTCGCGCGAACTCGGCTTCGAATCGAACGGCGGAGAGCTCGGTTGCCCGCGACTCCGTCGACCGGACGAATCAATGATCTCGATAGTTTCGAACGAACGTTCCCTCCCTTGAACACCGGGAGAATCTTCCTTGATCATCCTTCGACAAAAGAGTATGATTCGTCTAATCGTACGCTAGGGCGAATACAATTTGGCCGTGCTCTTAATGTTCCATCCCTTTCGTCGTCTCACGACCGAACGCGCATACAATATTTTTCTTAGTGTGTACGGCGGCAGCTTATCGATCTCGTCGTTAGATCGGATTCGCTCGTTCCGATGAAATTTGTGTTACGAAGGGAGAGGGTTGAACGTAGCTTCCGACGACTGGAAACGTTCGGGAAAAAGAACGAGGATCGAACCGAATGAAGTCGCGAGTAAAGATGCGTTAGGAGTGAGTGCACGGTGGCACCGACAAAACGTTTCACTTTGAACGGTTGAAACGGAGAAGCTCCCTCGCTCGGTTTGAACGCACCCTGAGCTATTGTAACTCGTGACACGACCGAAGTCGCAAAGGCTGGGACGATACCGCGACAACGTCACTCGCGACACAAATGGCAATCAGACACGCGACGGAGTGCAACCTCTTTCCAGGAACGTTACCTTCTCTACCATACCCGATGCTCTCGTCCCTCTGTACGCGTTTCACGATCAGCGGCGAATCGATCGGACCTTCCGTAAAAAAAAAGCGTCCTTTCGCGACGTGTTGTAACGGACGCCTATAAGAACCGTTTCACGAACCCTCGACGAAACGTGTCGTCGTCCAACGACCAGAGTTCGTTCGTCTCGACTTCGATGATCGACGAGGACAAGTTTCAATGAATCGAACGCGTTCATCACCTGTGGACACGTGATTTATATGGTCGTGTTCGCACGAGCGGCGAACAGGGGTACGTAGCGCGAGCGACCACGTGGCGGCGATAGATCTGGATCAGGGTTACTAACCAGCTATATCTGACCCTCTTATTTGACTGATCGTATTACAGTCAATCGTCTCGACTCTATATAAGATACACGACATACCGCGAGGTTGTGAACATGCGGTATTATTGAGTAACGCATCGGCATCGCGCCGCTCCGTAATTAGATTCGCGCCGAGGTCGACGAAGAAACACGTTCAAACCTCTCGTTACCCCGGTTCACGAGTTCCCGCCCCGGCGACCCCCCCGTTCGTTACCCCTCTTCGAACGACACTCCGTTTTTTTTTCTCCCTTCCGTTCCGACCGTTCCCCGTCGACCGCATCGGCGAATCGTCGCTCGGACCGTCGTCATCGTGGTCGTCGTCGTCGTCTCCCTTTCATTCTCTAAACTCCAAACTTCGGTTCCTGTTTCACGCCTCTGTCATTCCTATGTCCTTTCTTTCCTCCACGCCCTTCATCGCGCCCCCCCCCCCCCTCCACGCCGTGCTCGTTCGTAGTGGTTTTCCTCCGCGTTACTATACCGCGCGACGTCTTAAATGGACGACTTGGCGACGAGGAGACCCCTCTTTTCTTCGGTGACGTGCTCCCGCACCAAATTTACGGGCACGTTCTACCGTGATCGCGCTAACCTCGTTTACGAGCGGTCGCGCAGCAGCGAGAGAAAGAGACGTTCCGTCGCCTGGTTTAAAAAAAGAAAAAATATCCTCCCGATCGACGACGATCGGGGATCGGAGAAATCTTTTCCCTACTGTTCCCTACCCTACGTTGGCTGATCAGCGTCGCCCTTGATCACCGAGCTTGTCGTTTCGTTCGGACCGGCGACGAGCCGAGAATGCCGGACGCCGAATTCACGTTCACGAAGTTCACGCTACAAATTTGTTTTATAAAACTACGTTTCGGAGCCGTCTATACGACGATTCGATAGCGGAAAATACGTGTAACATCGGTTTAATCGGGTGTGTCTCAATTTCGATCGTGATCGTAAACGTTTTAACACAGATTCCGGCTTTCGACGCGTCCGATCAATTTCACAGATCACGTTCAATTTGTTTCTGAACGTAGGTATCTGTACAGTTCCGTCGATCGCGGTATGGTGACGGTAATAATAAATGAAATCGTTTCTACGTATTAGACGCTGTATCCGTTCGTCGGTTTCGTCTCTCCTCGCGTTTGCATTCTCTCTGTTTTTTGCGTGGAGAATGGAAAAGTATCTTTCGTTATTACGATTCCGAATGTGCGTATCGTGTTCTAGCGGTAGTAGCCAAGAGTTCTCGGTCCAGCGAATAGCACCCTTAAATCTTGTCTCCTCGACGAGCCAACGATCCACGAATCGTTTCGTGCTCCGGCTTAGGTACATACCAACGGTAACGGTGTCCTTAGTTCTAGCAATAAAGATTTTCATCGTTGACAATTTACTCGAACAATCCCGGCCGATCGCTTCTTCGTTTTGCGGTAATCAGTTCCGTTTCGTACCTATCTGATGAAACCGCGGTTACGTACAAGAGTAACTCGAGACGAGAAGTGCTCCCGTCCCGATGTTCGAAAACCAAATCGAAATTTCCATATTTTCGTAACGGGGACGGGGGAGGAGGGGTAGGGGGTTGGTGTACCCCGACCGGACGATGTTCGTGCGCGGGATTCGACCGTTCGAAAAGACGCGAACCATCAACGAGAGCGAGAAAATGGGAATGTAGACCCGGCGTTGTCGCATTGCGGCGCAACGGCAAAAGTACCCGATGCGATGTACCGACCTCGAAAAGTGCGACACACGATGTGCATCGAAACCCGAGTCGTGCAACGCCCCTCGTTCGATTCCTCTTCGTCCATCCGAATGGTTACCACGAACGTTTCCCAACCGATTCCCAACTCCGACAGAGAACCTGTGACCATCCACAGCTTTTATCTCTCGATTCGGCCGACAGTCCTCGTCACTGCCACCACCGGCTCACCTCGTTAACCCGGATCCGTCGTGTTAATTTCGCGTAGCTACACGTCCGTCAAAAAAAAAATTGAAATTGTGCACCAATTTCTTCTACGTTTCGTCATCACGTCGGGTCGGTGGGCACCTCGAGACCGATTGAACAAAGGGAGGTGAGAGCAGGACTTGACACCGGTCCTCACCGCGCGACGATCTCGTGGCAGCTCTCCTGATCCACGAGCCAAAATTTCGGTGTGGTAGCGGCACGCGATGCACGATAGGTATCGACCTTCGTTTCGTTTAAGAGCAATGCGAATTCGATTTTAAATCCTCTGTACTACGCGCTACGTACACGGAAGTATGTGTACACGGAGTAAATCTGGCGATCGTCTTTTTCCTTCGTTCGAAGAGAGAATTATTTTCCCCCTTCGCAGGAATCCGAGCCACGTAAAATCGGCCGTTCGGTACGCAACAACCTGACACGTATACTCTATCGATTGGACCACGCTCGAAAGGTCGAGCGAGCGTACAGCCAGAAGAGATCGGTAGCTTGAACATCCCTCGGTAGTGGTTCGTCGTCACGAGTACGCCGTAGCCCCGGTAGAAAGTCCTGGTGACGTCGCACGGGGGTGCGGACGTCGTTGGCTCGTCGCAGGGGAGATTTCTGGCTGTGTCTCGGTGTCGGTGTCGATGTCTCGATGCTGATACCGATACCGATACCGATGTCGTTGTCGATGTCGATGTCGATGTCGATGGCGATGGCGATGTGACAGTGTCGGTGTCGGTGTCGGTGTCGGTGATGCTTACAAACCGGCTACGTACGCCGTACGTAGGGGGTAGGAAAGAAAAGGAAATAACGCGAGTGTGCGGCGGGGGTTAGGGTAGGGGGTAAGGAACGGAATAAAAGGGGTGGAGTGGCAAAAGAGAAGGCGAGGCGGGTGGGCAAGGGGGCCGCGGGGAATGTGCGGCGGAAGGCAGACGGGCGGCAGACACCCCATGCTTATCCCCGCTCCTTCAGCTTCGACTCCGTGACTCACCAAACCGTTAAGGGATGAAGCCACGTTGCCTCCCGCGGTGTGCGTGCACACCGTTATCGTCGTCGTCGTTGGCTCGTGTCGGTGTGCGCGCGCGAACCAATCCGTGTCCGTGTGGTGACGCGTGCTGCACTGCTCGATGGCCGCGATGTATCTCTTGTTACGTTTGTACACACGAACAACGTTCCTCCCGCCTAGTGCCGCCTGCCCGTTGTATTTCATCGTAGCTGCTGGCTGGTGGCTCGGCCGTGTGTGTGTCTGCGTGTCCGTATCCCCGCGAAAACGCACACGCTCGAAGCTCGCCGTCCACACGCTCCGAACCGCGTCGAGTGCATTACACTGCTCTCCCTTTCTCTCCCTCTCCTCCTCCGTCACTCTCTCGCTCCCTTCGTCGTGTCTCCTTCGGGTTCTCTCTCGGTTGCGTAGTTTGTACGACGCGCGCCGTGACGAGAGGGGTTGCTTTACCGAGTGGCGAAAGGAAATCGGGAGCGAAAGAAGCGATTCGTATCGTACGTAAAATCTGTCTCCGACCGTGGCAATTCCTATTGTTGTATTCGATCAGAAAATTCGCACGGCAATTTTTTCCACGCGTTCGCCCCCCTCCTCCCCTTTCCAGGGTCGCCTTCTCAGAATCGATACCTAATGAGATGCACGCATATCTGTTGGTCAGGGCGCACGCTGAATGGGCAACCGTTGCTGGAATTTCCAATGTCGAGCGGCGAACCGGCCTTGGAACCCCTGAGAATTAAGAGGGCAACGCTTTGGACGAGAGTCGAGTACAGGCACGCCCATCGTTATCAGCACCATCGTCAGGGTCAAATCAACCAAAGAAACATCACCCTCTGGGTGTTCAGGGTACGCTGCGGTAACGTGACGCACTTGCGTGGAAAGGTAATCTCCGTGACAGACTTACGAAACATCTTTTCGGAGATCGTGAAGCCCCCGCGTGAAAACGCGCGGTAGAAACAGTTCGGCGGTCTCGCCCGGTTTATACAGACAGCGATTTCAATCGCATTAAAACGTACGCCGCGACGATCTTAAATCGTCTTACCGATAATTTGTCGAATATTATAATACCGGCTACCGTTGTCGGGTTTCAGCCGCCGATAAGCTCGGTGGGGGGCAGGGGTGGGGGTGTTTGACACCCGTACGTAGGTACTCGTAAGCGAACAAACGCGGGGAGATGAAAACAATGGGGGTGTACTCGTGGTTTCGCAGGAGCTCGGCCAACACCTGGAAATGGTGACGTCGCTCGCGGTGAACGTCGGACAACTGGGTTGGCTCAAGTTCGACGTTACCAAGGTCGTGAACAGTTGGTACACGACGAGCAGGGACAGGGACAAGTTGACGCTGCTCGTCGATTGCACCGGATGCGGTTCGCAGCACGTCTACGTGTCGACGTTCGACGGGCAATCGCCGCGCGTGATCGAGTCCTCCCTCGACGCGAAAGGTAATTGAAATTCTCGTTAAAAACGGATTGGTATTCAGTTTTGCAACGGCACGCGACGATCAACCCCGGCCTTTCTCAGGTACGCAAGATCCGGACAGGCCTTTCCTGGTCGTACGCACGGATCCAGCGGCTGTGAAGCGTGTCAGAAGGCGTGCGATCGAATGCAGCGGCGCTATAAAGGGCCAGTGCTGCAAGCAGAGGTTCTATGTGAATTTCGCTCAGCTCGGCTGGGACGACTGGATAATCGCCCCACAAGGGTAAGCGGAAGAGAAAGAGAATTGCATTGATCTCCCGTGACGATCGTTTGGTCGAGTCGCGTTTCGTCGTCGAGCCTCGCCCAGTATACTACACCGGCACACGGAGGAGAGCCACGGTGTGGCACGCAACCGTGTGCTCTTACGGCTCGGCGTCGACCGGTATGTCGACACTCGTAGGGCATCCCGTGAAATCAGAGTGTCGCTTACAAGTGCAACGGCCCTAAACCCTTGACTTAAGAGCAATTATTGCTAGCAGAATTGTCTCTGGTCTAAAGCTTAACGAAGCACGCGTGTCTGAAACACCTCGTTCCGAGACCGACGCTAACGATCGAAATCCCTGTTGCACCTCGTTGACTTTAAACCACCGTCGCTCGCGTCATCGCGACTGGCTAATTGATCATTCGCTCGTCGTTTCAATTGAACCCGACGCGCGACAACGCCTGGGAGAGCATTCGACAGACACGTATTTCTTTGGCGCCGTAGGTACTACGCGAATTACTGCAGGGGTGACTGCGCGGCCGGGCACAGGACACCGGACACTTTTCTCAATTATTACACCCACGTGATCGAGGAGTATCGCAAGATGGATCGACTGGCTGGCATGCAACCGTGCTGCGCACCCCTCAAGTTTTCACCGATGTCGCTGATCTATTACGGTCCCGACTCCAACATCATTAAGAGAGACCTGCCGAAGATGGTGGTCGACGAGTGCGGCTGTCCTTAAACCTCCGCCCGATCCGCGTCCAATTGCGGTTCGACCGGCGCGGTGTCGCCGTCGGAGCGACGACGCCTCGAATTTTTACCTAACGTTCTTTTCGACGTTCCGTTCGCTCTTACTCGCTTATTATTATTATCATTATTATTATCGTTATCGAGGAGACCTCGTATCGAAGCGGATCTCTCTGCTACTCGTCATCGGCCGATGCCGTGACAGAGACGTAGGGGCGGGAGTACGCTCTCGAGACGGTCCAAGTACGTCTGTGTATAAATATTAGAAGACCGTTTTTCTCTCGTTGGCTTCGACGTTCTCGTTCGAACGAAACGAATTCCTTGGTTTCGTGCGCGTGACCGTCGGTTTTAGGTGACGGCTAGATGAACCGACGCGGTCCGCCTGCGAATTAACAGCACGTTCGAACTTTTCGTCGTGAAATTTCTAGCTAGTTCAATGAAGCTGAATTATTTACGCGTTATTATACTGATAAGAGTCGCCTCACGGCGAGGACAAGGGAGAAGACAGAGTGTGCGTGTGTGTGCGTGTGTATGAGAGAGAGAGAGAGAGAGAGAGAGAGAGAGAGAGAGAGAGAGTAAGAGGTGACAAAAATCTCGGGAAGAACGACGACCAAGTGGGAAGAGTAGAGAACGAGGGCGAACAGTTTGGTCGGCTCTACTGCCACCAGTTTAAAGTACGAATGCCTCGTTTCTACGTGGTTATTAGACTGTTAACTGGGAATGACGAGAGTCGACACGTCTGCTAGCGTTTCCTTACGTCCATTACGGTCTTTCGCTTTTTAACGTATCGCGACACGTCCGCACTCTAAAATTACATTCCTTCCCCGACCTTTGCTGACCGATTCCCGTACCAAAAGAGATTCCGTCGAGAAAAGCGCTGCCCAGTTAACAGACGAGCGCAGTCGCGATGAAACGAAAGAAAGTCAGTGAGAAAACTAATGAAAGTAAAAAAAAAAACAAAAAAAGAGTGATTCCATATTTACGATTTATGTATTACATATGTATATTATATACACGTATAGACGCGCGAGGTGAATCAGCCGAGTATAAATATTTAAATAGGAGCGTAAAGTTTACGTGTACGCGTGTTACCGTTCACGTCTGAGATTCAATTAACGGGATCCGGGCGTTAACGATAACATCTACGACGCGACTCAATCTGATTGCCTTGTTTTTTATGCGAAACGTTTGAAAGTATCGGAGAGGATCGACGTAAATCGAATTAAAAGGTATTATCATGAAACATGCATGCGTGCATAATAGGTCTGTACGTACGCGCGTACGCGCGACACCGGACGCGTGTACGCGTGGACGTATCTACGTGTGTACGCGTGCGCGCGTGTGTCATATAAATATAAAAAGAGTGAAATGTAAATGCATACACACGAAGGACGATATGTTCAAACTACCGGGGATAGTAGAACTCGTGCTGGTTTGGGTGGGGTTCTTGCGTTCAACAGTTCAAACAGCTGCCGACAAGAGGGTTGTTATTATTTATTGTTCGAATCGAACGGAACGCGCGTGTCTGGTGTCATAGTTCCCTGAACGAAAAGGGAAGCGACGGGAACATCGCGCGCGTGTGTATAAATCCAATACATCTCGAAGAACTCGACGACGAAGTCTCGCGGACCGTGGGGTTTCGCGCGTGCGTTCGTAAAAAATCTTCTACACATTTCAATTCGGCTGTATGGGAATTTGATTTTGCACGAGGATCCACTCATGAATTTCGTTCGCACGAAAGAGTACGCGCGTTCGCTAAATTCGTAGCGTGCGCACGTCCACGCGTGAACAAGTGTACGCGCAACGTACCCCACGCGATACTACGCGGATCGCGTATGAAATACGCGAGCCTCGCCGGGAGACGAGAATCGAGTTTCTGCATTTACCGCGATACTCTTTCGACGCTCTTTCTGAACTTATACACGTATTTAATCGAACGAAAGAGTTTAATAAAAAAACGCGCGTGTGCTCGCGAAAAAAAGTACTTACCGAGGCGAAAACCGAGGTTCGAACGGCGCTCGGAAGGATTACAAATAATGAACAATACAAAATGACAATAATTAATCGACGGTCTCGAAGAAGGCCTCGAACAACGGGACAACAATTTTTTTAGGCGAACTAGCACGTATTGGTCCACAACGTTTCTCCCCCTTAGACTTTTCATTGGCTCACCGAGACCGAGGCGCGAGATTTTTCACCATAATTATTATATTATATATTATATTAAAAAGAAAAAGAAAAACGATCGATATTGTATGCGCGTCGCGATAGACGAGCCGATCGAACGAAGAGACACGGTGATTTTTAAAACACAAGAGATGTGCGCGTATATTGAAAACTACACGTGGGGTCGGGTCGACCCACGCAGCCTTACTGGGCCTTACTAAAATATCGTATCTTTGCATCATTATTAAAAACTGTATCTATTAATGTAACGATAAAGCTTAAATATTTAAACGATGAACGAACGAACGAACGATCGCAGGACTGTGTGCAGTAAAAGATGACGGAGGATTGACGGTGAGGGGCGACAGAGAACGTGCAAGAACGAGGAGAGGACGAGATAGGACGTGTTATCCGCGTCTGATCTGTTCGATCTGTTCGAATCTGAAAGGAGAAAAATCGACGTGTAACATAGTAGATACGGACGGGAAAGGTTTTCGCGGAAGAAAGTAAATAAGTAATCGATTAAAAAGGATGGGAAACCGGAATATATGAGAAGTAGCAGTCCGGTTTTTCGACGCCGATCGTCAGCGTGTTCCTTTCGGAATCGGAAATTCTGTGCAAATGAAGAACGATATTTTTTTCATGAGAAGCATGTAGTAGAAACGACGAGATAAACGTAGCAAAAATGTATGGATGCATCCGGACGAGAGAAGGGGCGGGGGGGGGAGAGGCTAATAGGTAGTAGGGTGAAAACGAGAGCGTTTCGAGTTCCGTCGCTTGCCTAATCACAAAAGATGAAAATAAAAGACTAATTGCGTCCAAAGTAGAGTTTTATAAAGCTAAGCGCACGTTCCGGTGTCGTCGGAGCTTTGGCAGCACCTCAGTCTCCTTTATTTTTTCCACAGTCATCGCGCTCTGTCCTTTGCTTGTAACAATTCACGTACCATAGACAACACCATCGCCACTGTTCGCCATCGCTACTCTAGCCATCGCTATCCTTTCTTACCAGTACGTCCCGGAAAATTATGATTAGAACCGACGGTGAGCACCACCAATTACGAGTCTCGTTTCTAATCTATCGTTGCCGTCGCCACCGTTATACGATCAATGCCACTGAATCAGTGACATCTCGTATACTTCCAATCGCTAGCACTGTCCTCATTGCGTACTATTTGTTATCAATGCTACGAAGAATAAAACATTTTCCTATCGTCCCGATCATCGTTTCCACTGTCATTATCGCTAGAACTCGACGAGTTAACAATTTAAACCCGAATAGTCACGAACGCCATTGTAACATCATTATCGCTAATAACGCCGGCCCTGCTGCTCTTGTCGCTGCTGCTGCTGCTGCTGTTGCTGTTGCTGTTCACGTTGCTGCTTTTGCTTCTGCTTCTGCTTCTTCTGCTGCTGCTGCTGCTGCTGCTGCTGTTGCTGCTGTCGTTCTTACATATTCTAGCGATCTAATCGTGCTGCTGCCATTGTGACTATTGATACCCTCAGATATTAAATATATATTATATACATACATTATATCATCTTTATTACCGTTTGATTTTTCAAAAAGAATATTTTTTCGCGGGAGGGGGAGGGGGGAGACGGTAGGGTTTAAGCCAGGAGCACGTAAGGGTCTCCGCAAAGCCTTCAACAAGCTCAAGGACTGTGTTTATTATCCAACTTTATTGTAAAATAAAACGGTAACGATGCCGATAATAATAACGACTAATATTAATACCGATATTAAATACACTAGCGTTACTAATAACAATAAGTACAATGATAATAATAAAAATAATTATGAGGATAAAAAACGATAAAATGAAGACGATAATTATGAGGATTAACCCTGTTACGATTAATATCTTACTGTTACGGCAACTATTACTACTACTCCTACTACTACTCCTACTACTACTAGTAATATTAATAATAATACTCCTATTACTACTTACCTATTACTTATTACTAATACTACTACCACTTCTACATCTACTATTACTAATATTTCGACTATTACTACGGTTATTAATAATTAATACTATTAATTTTACTACTTTTACTACTTCTATTACATTATTACTACTGTAACGATAATTATCATTGTTATTCTTACCATTACTACTATTACTATTACTACTATTACCACTATTACTACTACTATTACTATTACTACTACTACTACTACTACTACTGCTACTACTACTACTACTATTCCTACTACAACTACTATTACTACTACTACTATTACTGCTACTACTACTACTACTATTACTACTACTATTACTACTGATACCATTACAATTAATAGTAATTAATAATACCATCGATCAACATTATGATGATAATAATAAAAATAATAATGTTGATAACGACGACGATAAACGAGGGTTACGTAAGAAACGAATGAACAAATGTGTTCGGCCCGAGAACCTCTACCGAAAGCAATTAAGTCTATCCTCTGTAGATTAAGATTTTTCAAACGGTCAAGAGAATCACGGGAAGGGAACACACGAAGGCCATGGCAAAAGCGTTTTCTCACGCGTGCAACGCGTCAGTTTGGAAAGCAAACACTTTTCACTCGGTCTGCCATCTCAATCAGTATCGTCCTCGTATCTTCGGCAATGTTCTAAAACAATGATACCTCTTATCGTTCCTATTTACATAGATCGCTTGTATAGATCATACATTGATTCCGTAACTTCGCAATTACTCCATACTGTAATCATCTTTTACCTCGCTGAAATCAGGTTTTTTTTGTAAATCTTTTTCCAAGTAAAAGCTTGTACTGTATAACATGAAAAGTGCGAAATTCGTTGGTCAAACGGTTGTATCGGTGATAAATAAAAAGAAAGAATGGCGAGAGCGATAGAAGGGATAGTGTGCGCGTGGCGTGCAAACAAGGAACAAAACGAGAGAGAGAGAGAGAGAGAGAGAGAGAAAGAGAGAGAGAGAGAGAGAGAGAGAGGAGAGAAAGTGGGAGCTATGAAGAAATTAGAATGAATCGAGGAGCAAAGAATATGATCGGAGCAACCAGCGACGCATTGGATGAGATGCCGAAGATCCGCTACTGTGTTTTATTTTACATTGACGAACGTATGAAGTATTGTTTTCGGAGTCAAAGTTTACCGAAGACGAACAACCGTCCAATTCTCGATGTACAAAGACGGAGTAGAAGCGACTCTTTTGCACTCGCCTGATACTAATATAATTTGCGTTTCACTTGTAATCGCGGGGCAACCTTTCGAATTCTTTCTTTGGGAACAAATTGTTTGTAAATTAGAACGTTTCCAAGTACAATTAGAATCGTACTAGCACTAGCGAAACATGTATACTTCTCTTCTGAATCGCGTTCAACTCTCGTCACAGAACAGATTCTAAACTGAGTCTTAGTCTTATTTGGCAAAATGTGTCATAAGTACAGTGAATATGTAGAGTCAGGTAGAGCCAGCCGTCCATAGGCTTCTTTCAAAGTGCTTTTCCTAAGGAAGTCGATTACTCATCAAAGTCGTCCCGAACGCGACCAGAGTAGGACACACAGCATGTCTTTCTTTTTCGTTGTCTTCTGTACAGGTAATAAAGGCGAAACGACTCGCGATCGAGCTTGGATCGATCCTCAAATGTATTTGCAATGCAGACTCAAAGTGCCTTATGACAATTTCTTCGTACCGCGAGAGCAATACGTATAACCGAGTCACCGAGCGAAGAATAAGAATTGGTAGCGGTCGCGAAACAGCTGGTGGTGACGCGTGTGTAAGGAAGAGGAGATAAGAACGAAAGCGTTGCCCCGTCGCGATAGGAGCTCATGCGAATGAAAGTTGTAAACTCGACGCGTGTCACGCTGGACGCGAGAAAGACGAGTGCGAGAAGACGCTGGGACGTGGGACGAAAGTGAGGCAAGGAAGGACGAAGAGGAGAAGTAGGTATCAATGGCAGCAGCGTTAGCAGCAACAGCAGCAGCAGCAGCACGGTAGTATAGCATCGGTGTGAAAAGGATGAGTGATGATAACGCGAGAGACGAACATCGAGACGAATGAAAGCCGATCGAACGTCTCTGCGCAGAGTGTACGCATCGTTATACGATCGCTTCGTTCTTACGATCGAGGTCGAGACTTCGAATCGGACGAAGCTGGCAATATCGTGGATAGGATTCTAAAAGCGTCTCCCATTGCCAGATTCGATGAGAACGTCTCGATCCGTCCACAAGCATGTTACTCGCGTTTAGACAACAACGTGCGTGCCAGCTTCCAGTACCTTGTCGATCATTCCGTTCATTCGATATAGCCTTAACGGACAGACGCGATCGTATTGTTAGGGCCAAACGATCTTCGTTAAATCTGAATTCTACTTCCAAGCCACAGACCAAAAGTTTGATACTGATCAACGCTAATGCCTATTTACTTCTATTTATTTAACTTCGTAGCAATTACTGTGTGACGAAGTTAGTTGGGACACGAGCGAAACGCGGACGAGGATTAAACTCAGTTACGAATCTGTTAATTTCATTTAAGAGTAGCGCGACCATGTCTTTTTTTTCCTTCTTCCCATTTTCACTCTTTCGATTATTTCCCCTTTCCATTTCTCGCTGTCTCTCTCTCTCTCTCTCTCTCTCTCTCTCTCTCTCTCTCTCTCTCTCTCTCTCTCTCTCTCTCTCTATCTCTATCTATTTCTCGCTATTTTTCTCTGTCACTCCAGGTCTCTCTCCGTGACTCGTTTGCTCGCGAAATAAGTATAAATACATTACGAAGACTCGTAACGAGCAATGGTCTGGGTTCGAGTGTTTAAATTAGCGATCGAGAATTGAAAAGCGGGGACGATCGCGAAAGAAGGATAGTTAATAACACGTCGATCGAAGGAAAATGTATCTACGAGCGCGATCGCGGATCGTTTCGCTGACACACAGTCTATACATAACGTATATGTATACTCCGTTGGCTCGAGATCTCTCTACACTTCTCTAATTAATTAATAATTGTACATAAGCCCCGAAACGTTCGCGATCGGCTTCCTTTGTAATTAAACGGAACGAGCAAAACAGAAGAATACTGTACTAAGCGACCGTGTAGCTGTAACGTGTAACTATTACTACTACGGTGAACGTGAATGCTTTAGCCAACGTTTGAGGCGTGTGTTAACCGATTTACGCGCATTATTATTGTTAACGATATACAATTGTATTTACTTTTATAAAAATAATGTCGGATATTGTAATTAAAATTCTATACCGAAACACCACTCTGTATCCACGAGAGACGAATAAATAAAATTATCAAAACAAGCGGACCGCGAGTGTTCGTCCAGTTTAAAAGACAGAGCCGAAGCGTATCATCTCCGGTCGGTGTATTCAGAGTCGCGTTGCTCATTTTCTGAAGATCGTCTTAAGCATTTGCCATCCCTGCCTTATCCCATGTTTCCAGTTCCCTGTCAGTCTTGTGTACAGGGACTTAAAAAAATGATTAAGGCAAACTTAAATGTAAGTAACGACTCAGAATAACGGGGCCTATGTTAATGTTCCGACTAAAATCTCGATTTGCAACGAAAAATTTAGTCGATCCATTCTTTGCCCCCCATCCCGCAACCCGTGTCATAAAAAGACACGGAGGAGATAGCAAAAAAATTTGCCCGATGCTGGATGCCCACCCTCGAAGGAAGAAAACTAGCAGCGGAGAAGTATACAGCTAATGTGCAATCGTTGTGACGGTGCTCACTGTATAGATAAAAAATTCGGGCTTTCGATTTTTCGCGGCTCTGAAGCGAAAGTGCTTGGCTCCAATGAATTTGGAGTTGCTCGTGGCGCCATCTAGCGTTCACGGCTGCGAACCCGCTTTTCTCTCTGGTGCAGCAATATTGGAGCCAAGCACTTTCGCTTTTGCTAAAAAATTTCGTTTTTCCTCAATAACTCCTAAACCCTTGGAGATACGGGAAAATTGCATAGGACCTTTTTTGTAGATCTCGTCGTCCTCTATAAGAAAGGTCGTATGCAATTTTCCCGTATCTCCAAGGGTTTAGGAGTTACTGAGGAAAAACGAAATTTCAAAAAATTCCGCGGTGACGTGGACAATGCGACACAGACGACTGCGCTCACGACTGTCGCGCGGGAATTCAAAAAGACTGAACACAACGATTCAACTAACATGGCAGATACAGAAGTTATTAATATACTTTATTTTTCAAATGATCAAATTTATTGATTTACAATAGTTTCTTTATAGTTCACTACCTAATAATAGCATAAGAAGCAATAGTAAACATTCGTTCTACAAATTACGCCACGAGAT